GAAGAGAGAGCAAGCTGAATATCTGCCTCGTGAGAAATTGACTGAGAAGCGTGGCTTGGAGGCATTGTAGGCAAAGGTGTGGTGGGTGCGCAAAGTTGGTAGGGTGACCGACTCGCTTGCCTGACCGACTCGCTTATCCGTCACGTTAGTTAATATAGAGTATACTATAGATAAATAGAGAGATAGAAGTAAAATAGGTATTAGTAGAGTTGCTAGACTTAATAGTAGTAATTATCTAGCTATATAAGTATTAGGTTTTAGTAGTATTAGTATATATACTAAGAGAAGACCTATAGACATTATAAGACGTATATAAAAAGATAGATAGAGTAATTATAAAGATAAGATAAAGGGCTAGTATAGTAGTAGACGTTATACTAGCTAGTGACTTTATTTAGTATAACTAGCTATAGAGAGAAGAGGATATAATGCTAGTTAGATAGGGCAAGATAGACCTAATTATTTATCTAATAATAGAATATACGCTTAGTAGTATACTTTTATATAGTACTAAGATATAGTAGTATAGAGAGTATAAGATAATAATTAACTTAGTACTAGCGTCTAAAGAGCTAGTAGATATAATACTAAGATACGCTACCTATAATATTAAGTATAGCTCTAACTACTAAATAATTAAGATAGTCTTTAATAGCTCTATACTAGTAGCGTAGTAGTAAGAGTAGCTTCTACTTAAGAATATACTATAGAAAGTAATTAATAATAGAATTACTAGAGTACTTAGCGTAACTCTATAAGTAGGTATAATATAGTAGAGAACTAATAGACTAATAGTAGTAGTACTAGAGGTAGTATATATACTAATACCTAGGGCTAAGACATTACTATATATAAAGAGATAGTAAACGTAGAACTTAATATAGCTACGCTGTATCTATATATACTAGAGGAACTAAGTAAGAGCTATAAGACGAATAGAGGTTACTTAGCTAGATCTAGAAGAGATAGTAAAGAGAGCGTCAAAGTAGTACTATAATACTATTTAATAGTAGAAGAAATAGTACTAGGATAACTTCTTAGTAGATTATAATAATATCTAGAACGCGGCTAAGTATCTAAAGGTAGGTAATAAGGCGTTTAGGATAGTTCTAGTACTCTATAGAATAGATAGGATAACTATAAGTAACTTTAAAGAGTAAGTAGAGGAGTTACTTAGTACCTTTTTCCCTCTACTTTCTAGTAGTATTAATAACAAGAGAGCTAGGCCCAAGAGAGCTAGGCCGTAGAGAGCACCTATAGTAATACTAACTATTACGCTTAAGAAAGTAGAAAGATAGCTATACGCTACTAAGTTATAGAAAGTATCTAGAGACGATAGACTGCTAGTTATTATATAAAAGTAGGTCTAGCTAGTAGTAAAAGACTATATACTTACGCTATTCTAATAGTTACTAGAGAAAGAAGTACTACCTAGCTAATAGAGATATACTAAGATTATACTACTTAAGAAGCTAAGTAAGAAAGACTATACTATTATAAAGGCATAAAGACTAATCTTACTATTAGCTACTCTAGATAAAGTACTAGAGTTAGTAGTAGTAGAGAGAATCTTATATATAGTAGAGATATATAGGCTTCTACCTACTAATTACTTTAGAGCGCGTAAGTAGCTATTAGCTAAGTAAGTACTAGTATTACTCTAAGAATAGATTTATACCACGTAGTAGAGTTAGTAGACTATTAGTCTAATTAGCTTTAAAATTAAAGAAGCGTATAAGAGAGTATATAAGAAGAGACTACTATAGAGAATAAAAGTATAAGAGATACTATAGAAGCTACTAAAGTAGATAGAAGTATTCTACTTAGAGTATATAGCGTTAATCTAGATTAATAGATAAGCTTCTAAGGTTTAAGAACTACTATAAGTAGAGCTACTATAAAAGTCTCTATTATTAGTAATTCTATTTTTCTTCTTTAATACTAATTTTATATAGCGATCTATTAATATATATAGAGACGTAATAACGTTTATTAATAACTTTACTATATAGGTTACTAGCCTAATAGCGCAAAGTAATAGAGAGGGTATTAATACTATTATTTAAGATAGACTAGACTAGGAATAGATAAGTAGATTAATATTTAAAGTAGAAAAGATAGCTATTATTTACTTTACTTATAGGGCGTATAAAAGTACTATAGAGCCTTTTATAATGAAGTAGTAGAGTATCTTACCTAAAGACTTTATTAAGATACTTAGTATACTTATAGACGCTTAGCTTAAGTACTATAAGTATATTATAAGAGTAGCTATAAAGAGACTAGAAGTAGTATTAGAACTTAGAAGACTACGTAGGCTCTTACCTATAGTAGTATAATAGCTATTTTTAGTAATAGTTATACTAATAGTAGACTATGCGTTAAACGTATAGATATACGCCTATAAAGATAAGATTATAAAACCTATTAATAGAGTATAAAGAATAGGTATATAAGTAATTATTAGAATATTCTATATAGTAGTAACGTAGATAGTAGAAGCTAAGGCGCACATTCTAAGTATATAAGAGTAGTTCTAGAAGTAAGTAGTTAAGCTATAGACTAATAACTACGCACTACTTAAAAAAATCTATTATAAAGAAATATATTATAGATACGAAAGTTTAGAAGATAGTACTACTTACCACTATTCTAGATAGTAGAAGCGCTTAAGAATATAGAGATAGAGTAGATAGAGACGATCTAGCTATATATATTAGCACTATAAGAGAAGAGAGTATAGATAGTAGTTAAGAACATAATATAGAGCCTTAAGGTAAACTAGGTAGAATATATTATAGTAAGTAGCTTAGCGTAGAATAGAGTAGTTAGTATAGAAGGCGCGATTAGTATATAAAAGAATAAAATATAATCTTTCTCTATTACTTTAGGTAAGAGAGAAGAATAGAACCTATACTTAGTAGAGCTAGTAGTAATAGCTAAGGTACTAAGTAGGCTACTAAAGCTAAGGTTTCATAATATAGCACTAATAATAAGAAATAAAGCTACTATACTTATACTTAGAGTACCTTACTAGTAATTAGAGTAAGACTATATTAGCTAGTTCTATAAAATCGTATAAACACTAAAAAGAGATAGTAATATACTAATAGTGCTATAGCTAGGCTAGTAAATGGGTACCTCTAACTATAGTGTTATATAGAGGTTAGGTAAAAGTTATATAGGCTATAAGTATAGATTATAGTTAGGTCGTATAGACGTTAAGTAAGATTAGAGTTAGATTAGATTAGTTTAGATTATTATTATATTAGATTACCAAGCCTTTAGATAGAGGTTATAGTTAAGTTATATAGATCTTATATAAAGGTTTAGTTATATATATCTAATTAGCTATATAAGGTAGAATTTTTTTTATATAAAATCTAACTTTTAATATAAAAGTTTAAAGTAATATGTTTTATTATATTTATTAATTAAAGTTATATAATAAATAAAGATATTTTTCAACTAGTAAAGCTATATATAAGTCTTCTTAGTAGTTTTTTATAATATTATCTAGAACTCTAATATCTTTACTTAATATCTTCTTTATATTAGCTAGAAAAGTAAAAAAATTAAATACTTTATTTAAAGGTAGCTTATCTAGATTAGTAGTTTAAGTAGACTAATCGAGTTCTTTAGTAGGAGCGTACTTTAAAACTAATATTTACTAAATCATTTAAGCGCTAAAATAATATCTCTAGTCTCTAATAATATTTTTTATTCTATTAAAAACTTTCTTTATATTATCTTAAGTAATTATTATAGTAAAGATATTTATAGTAATTTTAGCTAAGTAAAGATAATTTAATAAGTTTACTCTCTACTAATCTAGAAAGTTAAAATTTTTATTTTTTTATATATATAGAGTACTTTAATATAATTTACTTTTTTAATATATAGATTTTTTCTTTATATTAAAATCTTAAGTAAGAGAGGTTAGCTAAAGCTAAATAAGCTACTAGATAGTAATTAAAGTATAGAAGGTTGTTGGCACGATAAAGGTGTCANAGCTAAATAAGCTACTAGATAGTAATTAAAGTATAGAAGGTTGTTGGCACGATAAAGGTGTCACGGGGGTGAATCAACTTGCAGCTGCAATACTATGGTGAGGAAGCGGATTGATTGTCTTGTAGCTTCTATCGTGTCGAGTATCTACAGCTCCTACGCGCACGGGCCAATAGGCGGTGACAACGCCTCTGCCAGTGCCCGTGTCGACCAATCAGTGTCGCGGATCAGTAGGACTCAAAGTCGAGTCCTAATTGATTCCAACAAAGGTTTATAACACTACTTAAAGCTATATAATCTTTAGAAAGAGAAGTCTATATTTAACTATNAGCGCTTATAGTTATTATAGTAGCTTAGATAATTAAGAAACTATTCTTAGTAAATATACTTATTATTCTAACTCTATATATTATTTTAGCTAGTCTATTAGTATCTTACTATAATAAATAATTAGAATAAAAGTATCTTATATATTCTAAGCTTTTATATTAGATTAAGAATACTTACGTAGTTAAAAATATACTCTTATTCTTAATTAGTTTTTAAGTAGTATTTATTTATCTTTTTTAAATCTTTCCTAACTATATTATAAATGATTACTAGCTAGTTTATATTCTCTTTCTTCTTAATATTATTATGAAAATATTTATTATATTATCTAGAAAATTAAAGTCTATCATATATTAACTAGATATATTAAATCTATAGTTTTTTCCTACTAAAACAGTAAGTTATAGTTTAAAATTAATATAATATCTTATCTAGTATTTTAAGATAATAATCTTTAGCTGAGCTAAGTTAGGGTTATTTGAAATTCTAAAATAAAATTTCTATATCATTAAGAATACTTTCTAGATAGACTAGTATTTAGAGAGTACTTTCTTATTTTAGCTAATTTTTAATATATAATTAGAGCTTAAATATGAATTAATATATATATAAGATAGAGTTTTATCCAGTCTTAATATTCTAAATAACTAATAAATATTTCTTTAGTAGTAAGTATTATTAAGTAGTAAGAATTTACTTAAAACGCTATAAAGATAGATTAATAGTAATATAAATCATTTATAGCTATTCTAGAATAAGTATATAATAAAATACTATAATAACTTACGTATATCTTTTTTAGTAAATTTAGTATATAAATATACTAAGTAATATTCTAAATATAGTATCTTTATAACAATCTCTTATTATTATTATTATCTAAACTTAATAATTTTAGATACTAGATAAGATTCTAGACTATAAGATTAATAATATTAGCTAGATAAGAGATTATATTTTTACTTCATTACTATCTAATATTTTTCTAGTCTAGCTCTAGTTTAATTAATTAGATAAAAGTACTATTATTACCTATATTGATATAGATAATATATAGAAGTCTTTAGATAGTATTAGTCTTAAAAAGAACTCTTAGTAATTCTTTTACTATTAATCTTCTAGTATAGTGTTACACGGGGTCTAGAGTGCTAATACTTCTCTAGCTTAATCCAGGTTAAGGCGAGTAGGATTAGGGTTAGCGCCGTAAGATTTGCCTAGCAATTCTTAATAGAAAAGAGTTATAGATATAACTAAGGATTTAATAATACTAATTTATCTAATAGACTAATATATAACTATCTTATAAAGTAAAAAATACTAGTAAGAAAGTATAATTTAAGTTAACTATAATAAGAGTAAATAATAAAATCTATCTATCTTTATATCCTTATTACTTCTAGTTCTAATATCTATAGCATCTCTTAAATACTCTAGTATCTTAAGATATTTAAGATATCCTAGTATCTTATAGTGTTATAGCATCTACCCTCTTAGCAATATATTACCTCTTAGTAAGATACTATATTATATAATCTTTACTCTATATTAATTATTACCTTCTAATATAGACGTCTCTAGGCCTTTAGCTATTTTATTATTTATTAAGATAAGAATCTTTCTTATTGCTAATAATATTACTTCCCTTTTTAGGGCTATTATCTTAATACTCTAAAATATTATTTTACTATACTATATATTAAAGCGCTAGCTATATATAAGGTTAGTAGGCTCTAGGCTATTATAACTATTTCTTTCTAACTCTAGCTTTCCTAACTATATCTAAGATCTAAAAGCTCTATATTTCTTATATTTAAACTTTAACTAAATAGAAGTATACTTATATTATATAAGTAGAAGAGAAAGGTCTTAAGATAGATTTTTAGTATAAGCGCTATAAAGAGAAGAAGCTTTACTACTTTATTAAGACGTCTACTAGACGCTATACTAGATATATCTTAGTTAGTACTAAATAAAGCTTATTTATTTCTAAAAGAGAGTAGAAAGAGATCTAGGTAAAGTAGGAGCGTAAAGAGTTAGAGGTTACTCTTACTAAGGAGGCTACTACGTATACTTATTATAAGCTTCTAAGAATAAAGTATAAAAAGTATATCTTTACGCGTTATAATTTTATAATAATTACTATTTAAGATAATATAAGAGAATAGGCTAAGAGAAGCTTAGTCTCTAGAGATATAGACCTTCTTATTATTAAACTATTACGATCTAAATTATTAGCTAATCTAGATAGGTTATAGGCTAATTTCTATAATCCTTCTTTTAACTATTCTTTCCTTTTCTCTAAGAGTTTACCTCTTACTTCTTTATATATCTCTAGTAATATTTATATACTAGTAACTTATAGTTTATTAGATTTTCTTTAAGTTTCTAAGGATTATAGCTCTCTAGCTATCCTTACTACTTAATTAAGTACTTTTACTAACTACTAATTTTCTATAGGTTCTTAATTTCCTTAATCTTATATTTATTATCTTTAAGCTCTATAT